GGGAATGGGAAAATAGCGCATAGCATGTTGCCTACAAGCTGGCTTTGTTTTGAGCTGTTCTTTAGCCAAATAGGTTCCCCCCCTTCTTTTCAAATAAAGGATCCACACAAATAAGCTATTTTGGAGCGAAATACTGCTTTGCATTCCCAACATGGCAAACCACACTACAAAGAACAGCCTCATAAGAGGACTTCTCAAAAGCACTCTTAATTAACACTCAGGTGAGTAATAGCTTCCGACTAAACATTTGACCTTGGTCATCTGGTACATTAAGCAAAGTAGCTCCAAAGGCATGTTCTTTCATGTGATTGCTATTTACAACAATGCCTGTCTGTTAAAAGCATATGGCTGTCCAAAGAAGACTTGACTGCCTAAAAAGAAATTTCTAAGGCTCATCAACCAAGGCGAACTGAAGGATCTCTCAGGTCACTTCTCAGCTTCTGAGACGACGACAAAATTCAGGATGTAGTTCACTAATTAAACAAGCCGCTCATCAACATTTCTCTCGTGTTATTAAAGCTGAATGAATTCCCAACTCTGGCAAGGAGTATAAAAAACAGTAATGGAAAAGGTAATCAAGTGAAACTACTAGCTAACTGCTTGGAGGATTTATGAGCCCACCATGCTGCATAAAAAAGATATAATTCGTTTAATTTATTAGTCATAAAGAAAGTAATTTACTTTGGTTAAAAACTGATCATCTTACAAAACAAGCCACTTTTTGACACTAATTAAATTTACCAAATATGGCCGAAGACTGGAGGTACTATATTATATTAACATTAGTGTGACAGGAGAAGAAGTCTATTTGTCTCCCTTGTGAACTGCTCCTGGTGATCACATGAATTCAGGTTAGAAATAAGTGATGTATAGACATTAGGAGGAAGAAGTCTGTGAAGCTATGGTTTTCCTTGATATTAAATTCAATGGACATGATCTAGCCAAAGCTACACCATACTTAGCTCTGGTAGATTTCAGTTGGTCAGCTAAGTGCACATTCCTGTTCCCCACTGAAGTCAATGAGATTTCAAAGTGCTTAACTTTGGCTTTTGATCATGCACATTTCATCAGAATCCTTTAATACACAAAACACAGTACACTGCTAAACTCAATTTCCAATATTTTCAAAGGTTTTATGTTTTTTTATAACCGTACTATGGTATACATTGTCACCTCTCTTTAAAAAATCTATTCTCTACTGCAGTTTCAATGCAAAATTTCCGATTGGCTGAACTTCCAGTAAGTTTAATGGGAGTTAAACCTCCTGCAGAATTTACTAGCAGGTTTTATTTTTAAATGCATCTCCACGATCATGAGAACTATAAATTTCCTTTTAAAGACGCAGATAGCTCAGATAGCTGAGCTTAGGAATGTGAATTCTGCATCAGACATCTTACTGAGTACAGAACCTTTCATATGCAGAATCATAGGACACTAACAGTTCAGATTATAATGGTTAGGGTACGTTCTGCATTTTCTCTAGCTGTGAGTGTCTCTAGCTGTATATTCAGTAAATATGCAGGTTACAATCCATTCCCATAAAAAATATATGAATGCTATGGCACTGATTTCAGTGTTTTATGGCTTGCATAGATCACATCTAGGCCATCAAAATGCTATCAAGCATGAATTACACATTAATTACCTGTGAAGAATAGTAAGTAAATTTAAATATCCTGCGTGCCCCCATCGTATTGAGCAAGTATAATTTACTTTGCTTGTAAGGATAATAAACTAGCAGATCTGATAAGGGAGCTTCCTCCTTCCCTTAGCAATGCATATTTATGATCTATTCCTCAGGTAAATTTATACTTTGAAGCAATATAAATTTAGTCATATGCTAATTCAGCTCCGTTGCTCTTCAGCTAGCAAACCAAAGTATGCATTTTTGTCACTGCAATATGACGGGTTTGGCATAATTTCTAAGGGGTGCTTAAGTCCAACTCAGCAGGCAAACGGTGCTGATTTCTCATATTTGTTGTACATGTGAGGAAGGATTTGGAGACGGTTTCTCCCCCGCCCTCTTTTTCTTGCAACAAGAATCCCTTGTTTAGAAGAAAAATTTCTTTCTGCTTTATACTGCATAAGCTTACACCAAGTTAGCCTCTGCATAAACATCTTGTAGTCCTGGAAAGACTAATGGGTTCTTTTAAAACAACAGCAACAAACCAAGTGCAGCCCACTCTTTTAGCTGATGAAGTCTGGAGGTCATGCACATTTTTCAGGCACATTATCTAAAGAGGACATAGAGGAGGACACCAACGTGTCAGAATTCCACTGGAAAGAGATAACACAGGGCTCAGAGGAGAATGACAGAGTGTTATTGGCCCCCATATTAATTTCAGGACACTCTGGGAATTGGAATAGGAGGACAGCATGCCTGATTTATAACCAGGGAATACAGCTTGAAAAACTGAGTGAGATTAAGCTAGAAATATTTTAGTCATAGTGCAGAAGTTTATGCATGAAAATCTCCTAACCAGATACATTCATCTACGATGGGCTAACATAACAGATTGTCTAGATCTGTGGTTCCAAAACATTTCTTCACACAGACCACTCAAAAATTGCTGAAGGTCTGGCAGACCACGTAAGGATTTTCTTTTGCCTGTTGTAGCAAATGTAATGCACAGTGCTGGATGCAGAATTATTTTTAATTGCATTTTTAGTGCTTCTTTTTATTTCCTATGTTTTGTATTTTGTTGTATCACAATTTGAATTCTATGGAATTCTAATACAATAAAATACAATGTTAAGGAATAAAAGCAATAAAAATACAATTAAAAATTAATATGACTTTAATGCTATCAGTGTGCCGTCTTCCATCTTTAATCACAAATCTGCAGATATGACCACCTGAATGACGCTCATGGACCACTGGTGGTCCAGAGACCATAGTTGGGGAATTGATGTTGGAGTGAAAGGAAGGTAGAATGAATGACTGACAGGCAGACAAAGCTTATGTGAGGGAGAGCAGAACTGGATAACGTCATAGTGGTAACACAGATAAGGCGATAACATTAATTCACATGATATTCATGGAGGATAAAGGCAAGGCTGTCAGTGGCTACTAAAATCTAAAATCTTATTGTTTTAATTTTTTTAGTTGTTTTTAATGTTTTAAATATGTTTTTTATTTGATATTTTATTGTTCCTTTTCTTGGATGTGTGCTTCCTCAGGCTCCCTTAGGGATAGAAATTTAAGAAATAAATAAGTAGATAAAGGCAGAGCTACAACTACCTTTTCATGTGAATACTGAGGTGATATAACTGGATTGTCATCTGTGGGAAGGACACTCTCTCTTAGAACTTAATTTTAATGCTATGCACCTAAATTTAAAGCTTAGTTGACCACCCAATGAGCCCATTAAGTAATCTAATGTCTGTATATTTTTCTTAGTTAGGCCTTGTCAGGACATTGGAGGACGTTGCAAGAAATAAAGAAATGCCCAGTTATCTGTGCTTTAGGGTATGGATCACAGTGAAGTTGGGAATTGAGCGATTAGAGCTAAAGATCTCTAAATGCTTCTAAAAGCATGATATGAAATCCCTGTAGGCGATTGCTCAAAGCTGGGCTTGTTGAATCTCATTTCTTTCATTACCTCTTTCCTGCAGCCCCAGGCTTTGCCTCTTAATCCCAAGGCCATCCTTCTTTTTTCTCTTCTTCTTCTGTTGCCTTTTACCCTTTGACCACTGCAGTGAATGCTTACACTCTGAGGCCTATTCTAAAAGATGAGCGAGATCAATAGTTCAGCGTCACGCACCCATTGCTTCAGTGAGATTCCTTTAGCAGAAACCGTGCACAAAATTTGTGGTGCAATGATGAAATAAATGTCCAAATAACATATCAGTTATCACGGCCATTCTTTAAACGCTGAGTCCAGTAGAAATAGTCAGATGTCATCTGAGATGTTGTCTCAATCTTTTAAAAGCTATTTCTCTATTAATATCTGCATCTACTGCCTAACCTTGAAAGTTAACTACTGCAAGATAGCCTTAACACCCACTTACATTGTAGCCTTAACTCCCCCCTACCGCCGCTGCACAATATTTTTGAGGGATCAATGATTCCTCCATTTCTTTTATATTTCTCAAAGGGAATTTTGTCTCTCTCAATTTTTTCTGAACTTGTGGAATGTGGTGACTGAAGACTGTGAGGTGAGTTACCTAGGGTCTGGACCAGGGGTAGGCAACCTAAGGCCCGGGGGCTGGATGCGGCCCAATCGCCTTCTCAATCCAGCCTGCGGATAGTCCAGGAATCAGTGTGTTTTTACATGAGTAAAATGTGTGCTTTTATTTAAAATGCACCTCTGAGTTATTTGTGGGGCATAGGAATTCATTCATTATTTTTTTTCAAAATATAGTCCGGCCCACCACATGGTCTGAGGGACGGTGGATCGGCCCACCGCTGAAAAAGGTTGCTGACCCCTGGTCTGGACATTAGTCAAACATTACATAGGAACTCTACACAAATTATGAATGCTGCGCAGGAATTCTCTAAGGCAAGAATCTCTAAGGCAACCCCAAAACATGCCCCTCTTTGCTTAATTGGGACTGAACAATCATTAGTGCCCTGAATATGATAACATAAGAAAATGACATAAACTATTATATAGAAGCAGTGTACTTGTATGCTTCAGTCCCAACTAGCCACAACAACTAGGGTTGAGGGAGGCTCATGTGATTCACTATATCTCTCAAAATCTGGGTGTGTGGACCAGGTAAGCTGCAAAGTGGTTCCTTTTCCTGCTTATGTAGAATCATAGAATCATAGAGTTGGAAGAGACCACAAGCGCCATCGAGTCCAACCCCCTGCCAAGCAGGAAACACCATCAGAGCACTCCTGACATATGGTTGTCAAGCCTCTGCTTAAAGACCTCCAAAGAAGGAGACTCCACCACACTCCTTGGCAGCAAATTCCACTGTCGAACAGCTCTTACTGTCAGGAAGTTCTTCCTAATGTTTAGGTGGAATCTTCTTTCTTGTAGTTTGGATCCATTGCTCCGTGTCCGCTTCTCTGGAGCAGCAGAAAACAACCTTTCTCCCTCCTCTATGTGACATCCTTTTATATATTTGAACATGGCTATCATATCACCCCTTAACCTCCTCTTCTCCAGGCTAAACATGCCCAGCTCCCTTAGCCGTTCCTCATAAGACATCGTTTCCAGGCCTTTGACCATTTTGGTTGCCCTCCTCTGGACACGTTCCAGTTTGTCAGTGTCCTTCTTGAACTGTGGTGCCCAGAACTGGACACAGTACTCCAGGTGAGGTCTGACCAGAGCAGAATACAGTGGCACTATTACTTCCCTTGATCTAGATGCTATACTCCTATTGCTGCAGCCCAGAATTGCATTGGCTTTTTTAGCTGCCGCGTCACACTGTTGGCTCATGTCAAGTTTGTGGTCAACCAAGACTCCTAGATCCTTTTCACATGTACCGCTCTCAAGCCAGGTGTCACCCATCTTGTATTTGTGCCTCTCATTTTTTTTGCCCAAGTGCAATACTTTACATTTCTCCCTGTTAAAATTCATCTTGTTTGTTTTGGCCCAGTTCTCTAATCTGTCAAGGTCGTTTTGAAGTGTGATCCTGTCCTCTGGGGTGTTAGCCACCCCTCCCAGTTTGGTGTCATCTGCAAATTTGATCAGGATGCCCTTGAGTCCATCATCCAAGTCGTTGATAAAGATGTTGAATAAGACCGGGCCCAAGAAGTGTCCCAAAGCCCTGAAAGTCTCAGAAATTGAGGGCAAGTCTAGGAATCCCCTACCCTGCTGCCTCTGGCTCAGCACCCAGAAGCCCAATGGCGTCCCATAGTAGCCCATGCAGAGCTTGTCTGAGGTCTGGGGCAGGAGTCTTGTTAGAATCAGTTTATAAACTCAAACAAAAAGGCAGCTGGTCCGTGGTGGGGGTCCCCAGCCAACTTAGCCCTCCAAGGACTGAGCATGATGCCATGAAATGGCAGGACAGCAGGGATGAGGAAGAGGATAGCGGCGAGGGGTGTAGCCATGACTGGGGCACACTGGGGCAAGCTGGGGGTGGAGGAAGAGAGGCTGGTGTAGAAAGTACTCACAGCATGATGGAGGATGGTGAGGGGATGGGGTTCAGTGCACAGGAACCAAAGCAGCAGGACCCATCTCCCTGTCCATGAACACGGCAGGTTCTGAGGCATAGGGAGAAGAAAGCAGGGTACTCTAGGAAGCTGAAGCAGTCAAGGCCCACAGCCCTGCTCCCTAGCTGGCCAGGTGGGGCTCGCTAGCTCTGAGAGGAGGTGTGTGATTCCTCAGTTGGAGTAGGCTCAGAACAGGTGAGGCTCACTTGCCTCATCAAGCCCAGATGCTGCAATCAGCATGCAAGATATAAAAGGGAAGCAGAGCTGAGGTGCTGTGTCTGCTCAACTGACCTTCAAGTGCTCTGAACTCTGGATTGGCTGCAGAGGCAGGAACTGGGCCTGACTGGACTTTGGGCCTGTGGGCCTGTGTGCTAGTATCTGCTTTGGGATTGTGTACCCCAGCGGGACTTGAACATCTACTGAACTATCATGGCTCCCTACCTCGGGTTGCCATGTGTCCTCTTTTTCCAGGACATGTACTCTTTTTCCTGGGTAGCGTCGTCATAGCGATCCATAGTTAAAAGTAAGGTAAACGTAAACGGACCCCTGACCATTAGGTCCAGTCGTGACCGACTCTGGGGTTGCGGCGCTCATCTCGTTTTATTGGCCGAGGGAGCCGGCGTACAGCTTCCGGGTCATGTGGCCAGCAGACCTAAGCCGCTTCTAGTGAACCAGAGCAGCGCACGGAAACGCCGTTTACCTTCCTGTTGGAGCAGTACCTATTTATCTACTTGCACTTTGATGTGCTTTCGAACTGCTAGGTTGGCAGGAGCAGGGACCGAGCAACGGGAACTCACCCCATCACGGGGATTCGAACCGCTGACCTTCTGACTGGCAAGTCCTAGGCTCTGTGGTTTAACCCACAGCGCCACCAGCATCCCTTAGTTAAAAGTAGAAGCTGGCAAATGTGTACTCTTTTTTTGCTCTTCAAAATATGGTAACCCTAACTAAGCGCCATTTAACCCAGCTACTAGGCAGAGTAGGCAAATCAGAAACTCTTCTCATGTTTGGTCTGATCAACAGACAATTTTTACCTGACCCCTCAGTGACCAGATAACCTGCTTTGAAGCACAGGGAGCTTGTGGTGGATGCTGAAACCAGGATTTAAGAAGCAAGTGAAGGGATTTCTAAGTCCTTTCTGGCTCTGTCCTACTCCAACAGCATATGGATGAAACATCTTTTCTGTGGTGGCCCCCCATTTGCGGAATGCTCTCCCCAGGGAGGCTCACCTGACATCTTCATTACATATCTTTAGGCACCAGGCAAAAACTTTCCAATTCTCCCAGGTCTTTGGCTCAGTAAACTATCTATGGCATTTTAAACTTTTGGGGTATTGTTTTGTTTGTTATTATGTTATGCATCTTTGTGTTTTTATACTGTAAACCACCCTGTGATCCTTGGATGAAGGGCAGTTTATTAATTTAATAAATAATAATGTGTATTCAGTCCCTTGAGAACAATGTGCTTTCCAGGCAGTGGATGCTTGTTCAAACTATTATCACATTTAGAGTGAATGGTATGGCTATCTTCACCCTGTCATAGCCAGATGGGATGGAAAATTGGAACAGTTTTTTTTCTGCCAAACAAGCAAAATGCACAAATAAGCATAGATCATAGCCATGGTCAGAATAATGTAAATAGAGTTTAGGCCCTCTCTCTCCCAGATAGTTTTGCCTAGCCTAGGTGAAATTATTGCTGACCAAATAAAAACAAAAGCTTCCTAAAACTGAAGACTTCAAAGCTGATTCCTGCTTTTGTAAATACTTTTTGAAATTCACTGTAGGGATTGTGCTAAGACATTGTGCTGAATCACCACCACCATTCAGATTGCTATAAACATGGGAGCCAGGGGAGCAGTTACTTCACTGACGAAGCCCAGCATAATACTCTAGATGTGAGTGCTACATCATGTTCTAATATACGTTGCCACCTACACAGATTATCTGGCTTTTACTGAATTTATAAATCATGAATGCTCTTTTGACCTTTCTTTCTCCCTTCCTTTGTTTCTCCTCTCTGGACCACACATTGCATTTACCAAAGAAATACTACACAAAATGGCCTCTCCATGGCAAGTGATTCCAATATCAGCACTGAGGACTAGAATGATATACAACATGGATCGCTGCTTTAATAGCACGAGTCTCTGCACTCCTGCCAGTGACCACCAGGAAAGTAGAGCCTTTGTTTGGAAAGATACATCATGCCTCAGAATATCAGTTGCTAGTGAACAAATACCATCTGCCATGGCACAAAGTTGCATGTGGGGTGGCATTGTGTACCACCCTGAGAGACACATGGCATGAGTGCCAGATGTAATGCATGGAAAGAAGAGCATGTCTTATGGCACTGTGTAAGTTCTGCTCCCTTCTCAGTCTATTCTGCTTCTCACTTGCCCTAAAAGGTGACAAAGTAGACAAGATTGGTAGTCTCTGAGTGGGATTTTTTTTTAATGAGTGGACCTGTGTGGTTTTGAAACAGTATCCTCTCACCACCACCACCACCACCACCCTCAACTATTTCATAATCCACACATAGTGTCAGTTTAAATACATGGTTATGATCGGCAGTGAAATGAAGTGAAATAAAAGTAGAGAGGTACCCTGATACAAATTTATAGTGATTGAGGATCACATAAATCACCCCCCTTGATTACAGAACCTGTGAAGTAGGGAAAGGATCTTCACTATGGCTTGTGGATTGTGCCCACAGAACAGGAACGCATAAAAAGCCCTGCTCCAAGTTGTTGTGGAATGTGCTACTGATATTTTTGGAACCTGAAGGATAAATTCTCCTGGGGTGGATGTACACAGAGGGGGGGAAACCCGCTGTAAACAAGTCAGAGATTAGATAGTTATAACAAAAGGGGGGGGGGGGACCCTATGGAAAATAGTGTATAAAATTTTCCTGCTTTCTGGCGCCATCTGGTGTTACATGTTTATACTGCATCCAAATCGTTTCTTTACTAATGTAGCTGAGTCCTAAGTCTCTCAAGTAATGTGATCCTGATCTGTATATGTTAGTACCACCTCAAACTTGGCCTGGTGGCAGATTGGCTGCCAGTGCTAATCCCATAAGCAGCGTGTTTTTATGCTAGCAGTGTTTACTGCCACAAGCAACCTAGCCACAATGCAATGTATAGTGTTAAGCGTTTAAAGTTAGATGGTGGGGATTATGTAACAAAAGAGGGGAGGGGAGGGGAGAGATGGAAGAGGGTTGAGTAACAAGGGCTCATATCTCTCAAGGAACATGGAACAGGCGCCTGGGCGTCACCTCACTCAGGACGTTAGAGCAGCAATCCTGAGACAAATGTAATTTGTGCCTTAGCTTTGTTGAATATTTGTCAAGAACCCAGTTGCCACCATGCTTAAAAATAGGTTGGATGGTTTTTCCCATTTTAAGACAATTGAAACTGCTAATAAATATGGCACCCAAGTTAATGAGTTTTAAAGAGGCAACAAGGCACAAGAATTTACATATTGCTGTAAGTGGATTAACAATGTAAATAGGAGACAGCAGGAAAAATTGGAAGGCTGTTGTTTTTAAAGGACTATTCACAATGCTCTGAAAGGAAGGGGATTACGCAAGCTGTAAATTCTTATTTCAATTTTGGCCAGCGTGAGGGAACTCTGGATACTCCATTTTGAGAGCAGGCCAACATATTGTCAACTGAAAACAATAAAGCAAACACTTTTGAATGCTTGTTTTTGATTTCCCTGTTATCTTTAGCTAAGCTATTTTCTTGGCTCAGAGATAACATTTTCACAAACAATACCATCTTTTTCGGTTGCTCTAAATGGCTTTGTAGCTATATTAACCAATTCCCAAAGCTTTGTTTTACATTGGCAGTTGCCAGTGGTGAGACCGAGTGGTCTATTACAAAGCCTGATTAGTTTGACATTTGCACCTGAATTCTGAGATAAACTCTGGTATTCATGGGTGGCAAGTTCTTGCTTCTCAGTTCCCTGAAACCCAGTCAGTGTCATGTGAAGCTCCTTTTGCCTATGTCCTGGATACCACTGAGCACCATTGTTTTCAAAGTGGCTGTCAGTCATTACCCCCCACAACCACCACCCCAACCTATGCAAGCCATCCCTTAATGCAAAGAGAAACCCATGGTCCTTCAGATGTTGTTGAACTGCACTTAGTTCCACCCAGCATGGCCAATGGTCAGGGATGATGGGAGTGATGATGGGAGTGATGATGGGAATCCAACAACATCTG